GGCCAGAAGGAGCCTCATTAGTCTTCCAGGCAGGCAGCTCCAGGTTCATTTGGGGGTGGCCCCTGGGGAGGCAGCCAGAGCAGCTATTGGTCCTGCCTTGACAACTAGACTGGGGCAGTACCTGTCTCTCCTTCTGGGGTGGGTCTCAAGTGCCTGAGGGTCCAGGCAGCAGGGTTGCCGGGTCCTCAGAAGAGCCTGAGGAAGATACTGCTTCTCGGCCACCGATCAGGGCACAGAAGGTTTGCAAGCAGCTGGCGGTGGCTAGCCCCCGAGCTGGGTGGTGGGGATCCCCATGGCAGGGAGAGGTAAATGGAAGGTGGCCCCTAAATCTGGGCTCCTCTGTCCCCATTACTGCTCCAGTGTTCTGAACCGAACTCCTCCCAACCTGATCCAGGAGATTATTTTAGTGGATGACTTCAGTTCAGATCGTAAGTATCCACCTTCTTTGTTTGCACCCCACCAAACCCCCTCGTTTCCCCAAAATGCTGAGGCAAGCACTCTGAAGTTGTCCTGGCCATCACTGGCTGACCTCTGCCCCTCATTGGGATCTTCAGTCTTTTCTAGGTGCCCTCTCTGGTGCTAAAGGAGGGGAAAGAGATGTATTGCTTTGATGGGACGCTGGTGAGAGGAAATTTTTAAATATTTAAAATAACATAATTATTACAAGCTTCCTTATTACAGCTGCCATGAGCAGATTTGTCCATTCTTCTAGCTCCATAGGTGATGGCGCTGGTGCTCTCTGGCGCCCCCTGGTGGTAATGCCATATGTACACGCACCCCTTACTCCCACCTGGGAGTGGGGGACAGGGCAATCCCTTGGCCACTAGAGATGGCCATGCTGCTCCATGCCTCCCCAGCCCCAGCCCTTCCTCTGGGCTTGGTATGGGACAGCTCTTGGGCAGTTCCAGTGGTGGCCAAACCACTTGTGGCCTGATGCCCATATCTGAATGAGCGTCCTTTTCCTCACCCTCAGCTGAAGACTGTCTGCTCCTGACCAGGATCCCCAAGGTCAAGTGCCTGCGCAATGACCGACGCGAAGGTAAGTTCTTGGACCCTAGGTGCCACCACAGACCCACTTTGGTCTAGACGTCCGCACCTCCCTGCTTCCTTTTGGTGCCGTGTCATCCCAGGCCAGCATGGTCCTACTGCATTCCTGGTGGCCAGGACCAAGGTCTGTGGAAAGACCTTCCTGCTCTCCCAGGTCGGTTCCTATCCCAGCGTGACTGCAGGCAAGTCGCTCCACTTCTGACTACCTTGGTTGTCTCTTCTGAGAAATGGGGATACTAATAGTACCCTTTCTTCCTTGTACAGGTACTGTAAGGATTAAATGAGATAGGATGTATGGAAATGCTTTGAGAAATCAAAGGGCAGTATAAAGTAGATGTAACCTCACTTCCAACTGAGAGGTGTTTTGGGCATCAACTATGGCATAGGATTGTGTTTGGCTCTCTAGGGTGCATAACAGAAATATAAAATGCAGTCCCTGCCCTTGTAGAGCTTATCGGAATCCATCAGAACAGGCTGGTTATAATTACATGGTTGAATGGAGATCGGAGGCGAGGGCACCAAAAGAGAGGGGAGTGACCAGGGAGTGGGCCTTGAATGGATGAGGGGGTTTGTGAGACAGGGGAACGAGAGACAGCATTCCAGGCTCGTGGATTCTGCAGGCAGAGGCTCAGGTCAAGCACGGGTACACATGGAATACTAATAGCCCTTCTCCTAGGTGCTCACCCTGTAGCAGGGATTGACTTTGTCTGCATTCTCACATTCAGTACTCATAACAGCCCATTTTCCCCAGATAAGGAAACCGGGGTTTAAGGAGGTTCAGTAATTTCCTCAGGGGGACGAATAGAGGAGCTAGGATTCTAACCCTAGCGTGGAGGGTCACCCCAAAGCCCAGCTCTTCACCTCCCTCTACTTACTCTCCCTTTCAGGGATAATCTGGGCCTGGTCAGCAGGGGGAATGAATGGAGTGAGGGTAGATGAGAGAGGACCTCTGAAGCCAGAGAAAGGCATTTCGACTTGATAAGGCAAATAGTAGGGAGCCACTGAAGCTTTGAGAGAGAGAGAGAGAGAGCGAGAGAGAGAAAGAGAGAGAGAGAGAGAGAGAGAGAGAGAGAGAGAGAGAGAGAGAGAGAGGAATGTGACAGGCATATTTAATAAAGACCAGTCAGACCAAGGAGACTTTCATACTGGAATGGAAGAGGCCAGAGAGAAATCTCCCAAGTAGGACAGGTTCTCTAATAACATAGTTTCGTTGTAACATTGATGAGATACTGTAGGAACTTAACTCTTGCTTTTATCAGTTAGCCTGTGGTAAAACTTGTTTTGTTATTTTGTTATATGTCGGTTCACTTAAAGTTACAGAAACTATCTACGATGTTAAGTGAAGACTTACTCTACCGGGTTATAGGTGCCTATAGTTCTTTGAATATACTACTCCCTGGGGTTTTGCCTAATGTGGATGTAAATGTATGCAATTAAAGTAAGAAGGTTTAAATTAGGTGCTTTATAGCTACCTATTGAGTGAAAAGATGGGACAGATGGACTTTTGCACAGATGGATGGATAATCAAATGGATAGAGGCAGAATGCTGGGCAGAGGTGTGGCCAGGAAAATCTCTCCAAGAAGCAGCTTTTATTCTGAACTCTTAGAGTGAGGCCCTTCCATCCCCTCAACTCACAGGACACTAGTGGCTGCTCTGTAAGAGACAAGACCAGCTGGACCTCCTTTTTCCTGACCAGGTCATTCCCCAGCCCAGACCATAGAGCTGGCAAAACCAAGGCCATTCTTTGATGGTCAGTGAGCCATCAGTGAGACTGTGGAGTACGGGGCTGGAAGCAGAGCAGAATCTAGCGCATGTAGGTCTCCTGGGCACCAGGCACTCCCCACAACAGGCAAGGTTGTTCTCTCTCTGAATCTCCTAGGTAAGAAAACTGAGTCTCAGAGAGGTTAAATAATGTGCTCAAGGTGAGTGTAGGGGCTGGCATACTAACTCCAGCCTATCCTAGTCCAGAAGATTCTGTGTCTCACGTGATGGTGCAGCTGGAGGAAATCACCCTGCGG